TTGACTCAGCCGGACATTGCCTACGTCGTTCAGCAAGTCTGCCTTTTCATGCACGACCCATGGGAGCCGCATCTTGCTCTGATCAAACGCATTATGTGTTATGTCAAGGGCACTCTCGATGCCGGTCTGCACCTCGGCATTGGCAGCGTGTCATCCATCACGACATACTCCGACGCCGACTGGGCTGGATGTCCAGACTCTCGACGCTCTACATCATGCTACTGCGTCTTCCTTGGAGACAACCTGGTTTCCTGGTCTTCAAAACAGCAGACCACGGTGTCTCGGTCTAGTGCAGAGGCGGAGTACCGAGCTGTTGCTCATGCAATTGTTGAGTGTTGCTGGTTGCGCCAGCTGCTTGAGGAACTTCATATCTCGATCCCTTCGGCGACCATTGTCTATTGTGACAATGTCAGCGCGATCTACATGACTGCCAATCTAGTTCATCATCGTCGCACGAAGCATATTGAGATTGACATTCACTTTGTTCGTGAGAAGGTGGCTTTGGGGCAGTTCAGAGGTGCTACGTGTTTCCTCATCCCATCAATTCGCGAACATTATGACTAAGGGACTGCCTGTACAGTTGTTTAATGACTTTAGGTCTAGTCTCTGCGTCCAGTTCCCTCCCCCTGTGACTGTGGGCGGGTATTAGAGATATGTATAGTCTAACACATGTATATCATGTTACTTGTACCCCAAGTTGATCTGGACTATATATATGAAAGTCACCCCCCCTAATTGAGTGTGAGGTGTTCCACTAATTCTCTGCATCTAATTCTCTACACTAAGAAACCAATTTCGCCTGTGGTACGCTTTGGAATGGTGGAGTTTATCCATTTCACACGCTAGCTGGTGCTTGTATAGTATCGACGACGGGGATGTGGAGATAGGGTGAATTAAAATGGGCAGACCAGTTGTGAGAGAGATCGTCATTTGAGATTACTCAACGGACAAGCCATGTCAACGAAATGGGCTAAATCGTAACATAACATAGCAAGCTACCTGCAGATTGGACTAGCTTAATCTCCGCTGGTTAAGCACTTATAATTTATGTTACCTGCTCCTACTGGAGACTGGCCTATTGGCTGAAGGCTGATGGGTGATGGCACATGGGCGTAGGCTGATACAGATAACACAACTAATATACTCAATTATTAGTCAAAAGCTAACCTACCGCTTTATAAGAATGTATATTAAAGACGATACATACTACAAACCATGACTCTGTTTTATGATTAATTTGTTAGGCTCACAGGATCACCGGCTCAGGTGAGTGAACCACTCACCAGTCTTGTCGAGCACCCGCTAGTGTTGCCGAGCACCCACTAGCCATGCCGACCACGAACAAGCGTCATCTGTCCCCACACACTATGGCTAGAGCTAGAAGAAGAAGGGAGAACAGAGCATACACACACAGTACAAGACACCAACGTTGTCTAAAACCCTGTATGGGAGATAGCAAATCTGAACTCTCTTTACTGAGTTGCTGTGGTAGTCTATTTATACAACTCTATCCATCTAGTCCCAGTACAGCTGCCCTATTGCAACAGTGACTAGATAACATATGTGGTTGACTCATGCGGCCTCTGATATATAGCTACTGGCTAGCACAGTGAGCAGACGACGCCGCACTGACCACGCACTGCAGTGATTCTGATATCAATGAGGGGCCTTTCGGCGCCGCCTTCCCTTGTCTTTGTGTTCACACAAGGTAGCAGTAGATTATCTAATAATCTTCCCTAATCCCTCTTGCTAACCCTTGTACCCCCCCCTCCATGCCGATCATCTCCTTCACTCCGTGAGTCGAAGACGTCCGAGCAGCTTAGTGAGGATGCCCACGAGTTGCCGACCAGTTCCGACGAACTCAATGATGATTTGCCCTCAATCGACATAGTCCCTAAGGAAGTGGAACTTCACGTCGATGTGTTTACTCCGGTCGTGTAGAACCGGATTCTTCGCGAGGGCGATGGCGGGCTGGTTGTCCACCATCAGTGCTGGTGGGTGAGCTTCCACACTGATTAGCTCGCCCAGCATCCGGCGCAGCCACACAACAACGCGCACGCCGTGGGCTACTTGCTATTTACTCCGCCGCACGTAGATAGCGCCACCACTTTTTGTTTCAGCGACAGCCATGAAATTGGGGCCAACTTGAGGAAGACGAGCACGCCAGAGGTGCTCTGTTGTCCATCGATGTCCCCTGCCATGTTTGCATCACTGAACACAGTGAGCTGCAGCCTACTCTCACCGGTCTTGGGAAAGATGATCCCCTGATCTACCGTCCCTTTGACGTAGCGCAGTAGCCGCTTCACCGCAGCCCAATGATCCTCTCTGGGATCCTCCATGAAGCGACTGACGTAGCCCATGGCGAACGCAATGTCCAGCCTCATGTGGACTAGGTAGTGCAGACCACCGACGATGCTCCGGTAGAGTGTTGCATCCACCTTCGCCGCGGTGCTAGCCTTCGTTAGCTTCAACCGCTTCTCCATCGGAGTCACACATGGCTTGCACTTAGCCATGCCACTCCTCTCTAACAGCTTGGAGGCATACGCGCTCTAACCGAGCGTGAGTTCTTCCTTCCCCTGTCTCACCTCGATGCCGAGATTGTAGGAGAGTGCGCCGAGATCGCTCATTCAAAAATGAGCCACCATCTTGCGTTTGAAGCTGTTGATGTCCTCCGTGCGCGCGCCGGTGACGATTAAGTCATCCACATACATGCCATCGACGAGCTCCTCTTTCCCCCGTCGCCGCGTGTAGAGTGTGTGCTCGGTTGCGCACCTTTGAAACTCAAGCTCGCCCAGCATGGCATCAAGCTTGGTGTTCCATGCTCATGGGGCCTGCCCCAGCCCGTAGAGCGTCTTACGCAGTCGGGGCATCCTGTGCTCCTCTCCCTTGACAGCGAAACCTAGAGGTTGCCTGACGAAGACCGTCTCTGCTAGTTCACCGTTGAGGAAGGCCGATTTAACGTCCAAGTGATGGATGTGCCAGTCCTTTGCTGCTGCCAAGGCTAGTAGCAAACGGACCGACTCCATGCGCGCTACTGGCGCAAAGACCTCCTCGGAGTCTATGCCCTTATGCTAAACAAAGCCTCGGGCGACGAGGTGTGCCTTGTGCTTGACAATGGCACCGAGCTCGTCCTGCTTGACCTTGTACACTCACTTCAGGCTGATCGGACGACATCTTGGAGGTGGATCGACGAGCTGCCAAGTCTCGTTTTCCTCGATCGCCTTCATCTCCTCCAGCATCGCCCGTCGCCAGTTTCCATCCCGCTCGGCTAGCGCGAACATAGGTGGTTCCTCTGCACTGACGAGCAGCAGCTCTGTGTCATTAAGTAGCCGATCAGCCAGTCCTGAGGGTCCTGTGCCGTCGACGATGGTAGGCCCGACATCTCCTCACCTTCATGGTAGGCATCCATGAACTCAGTGATGCCACTTGGAGGTGAGGCGAACTCGATCAGCGTTGATGGTGTTCCTTGTTCCACCGGAGTGCTCGGCATAGCACCTTGAGTGCTCGGCGCCCTAGTTGTAGTGCTCGGCACTATTTCTAGACAGCTCGTCATAACTCCTGCAGTGTTCGACCACACTATAGGAGTGCCCAGCCTCAATCTTGGAGTGGTCGGCACCACTACAAGACGTCTTGGGTCCGCCACGAGAGTGCTCGACACCCGTCCTGTAGTGGTTGCCACCACTGCAGAACCTCCTAGCACCACTCCTGGCATGCTCAGCATCCCTCCAGGAGTGCTCGGCACTCCCCCCGGAGTGCTTGGCATCCCTCCTGAAGTGCTCGGCACTGCCCTAGGAGTGCTCAGCTCTACCGCTGGAGTGCTCAGCACCCCTCCCAGAGTGCTCGGCGTCCCTTTCCCAGCGTCTCCACCACCGTGGATGACCAGGTGCTCGACGACGAAGGTGTTGGTGAAGCCACTAGCTTCCCCCGTGCTCGGACTGCTCTAGTTCCAAGTCGTCTCCTCGTCGAACACGACGTCGCGCGAGACAAGCACCTTGTCTTCGCATGGGTCGTAGAGCCGGTATGCCTTGATACCCTCCGCGTAGCCTAGGAACACCATCGGTGTGCTCCTGTCCTCCAGCTTGGTGAGGTTCGGCTTCGTCTTTCTGACGTGGCCCATGCAGCTGAATGTCCAGAGGAAGGACACGCTCGGCTTGCGCCCATACCAAGCTTCGAACGATGTCTTGCCCGTCAGGGCCTTGGTCGGAGAGCGGTTGAGGATGAACACCGCCATGGTCACCGCCTCTCCCCAGAACCTTGCTGGCATGCCTTTGGCCTTCATCATGGATCGGGCCATGCCGACCACTGTCTGGTTCCGTCGCTCCACCACGCTATTCTGTTGTGGCGAGTACGGCATGGTGTGGTGTTGCCCCACATCCTGATCCGCACAATATGTAGCGAACTCCACCGAAGTGAATTCGCCACCGCGATCAGTCCTCAGCACGCGGAGCTTCTTGCCGCTCTAGGCCATGGCCGCAAAGCCAAGAACGTGTGTGGCCGGATTTTTCCATCCCTCTCTTGTCATCGTCTCAGTATCCCTGACGTAGGAGGCGACTCCTCCGACGGAGGCGGCGCATGGCCACGCCAGCCACGCCACCCGCGCGCATGGCTACGCCCTGCCCCGTCGTCTTGCGCATAGCCACGCCCTACCCCTCCGGCCACGCCGCCCGCGCGCACGGCGTTCAGCGAGGTGCGGTGGGCCCCAAGGCGGCGCACAGCCGGCCTCTAGGCGCAGCGCGGCCGTCCTCCAGGACGTGGTGTGGCCGGCCCCCAGGCGTGGCATGGTGGACCTCAAGCGTGGCTCGCGGCCAGCTTGGGGGCGGCGTGCGGGCGGCGTCCCGCAGGGCGTGGCACGGCTCTCGGCTGGCCCCGAGAACGGTGAGCATGCGCTCGTGGTGGCACCAGAGCACCCGACGTGAGATGCAAGCACGACGAGCGTTCGAGGACAGGGTTCGTGAGAGCGACTGGCGCACGGGGAGGGGTGCGCTCAGACGGGCGAGAAGATGGACATGGAGACCGACCCATCCTCGGCGTCATCCCCATCCCCGTCGTTGTCCCATGCTCCTTTTGTGTCGGCTGAAGCAGCGGACGCCAGGCCTCAGCTCGCGCTGCTCGTCTTGAGGAGGAAGAAGGTGTTGGAGTCGCTGACAGCTTGGCCCCACCCGGCGGAGAGATAAAGAGGTAGAGGATGAGGTTACGAGAGAAGGGTATTTTAGATGTTTTTACTGGCTGGGCCCACGTGTTAGGGCTGGCAAATGGCAAAAACTATACAGAAGGTGGATGGAATGGCTTGGGAGGAAAAAAAAATGTTATAGCACCAGGGTGCATTTGAATTTTTTAGTGGCGTATAGACTTGGAGCATCTTTCGAAATGACACGCAGGGGAAAGACTCTTGCAAGTTACATACCTTGGTTAAAACGCAACTCATGAAATTGACCTCACGTCTGTGTTGCTAGATGAGTCTTATATCAGCCCAACGTCTAAAGATCTGTGCAATAAATTGCACGCCTAGTGATCAAAATCTTTAGTTTTGTTGCAAAGGCTGTTGGGATACCTTTATAAGAGCTATTGGCCATTATTTATTATATGGCATAAACATGTGTACTGTCCATTTGCCCCCAAACCCCCCATCACGCAAATAGAGCTCTACTGACAGGCAAGCAGGCTGAAGAAGGGTTTCTGAATTTGAAAGCATATATGCAATTTACCTTGGCTCTAGATTAATCGGTCTAGTTCAACAAGCCTCAGTCGCCAAACGGAGTTGCATCGCTCAAGAAAAACGGCAGCAGGAACCAAATCAGAGCAGAGTCCCAGGGGTCGGTCCGGACTCCGGACTCCGGACGGAGGGGCGGCATCCCAAACCCTAGCGCCGACGACTCTCCCTGCTGGCACAGCTTTCGTCTCACTGCCGCAGGAGCGGGGCATCGGAAGGTAGGCGGCGCGCCTGGCAGCGGCAGCGGAGCTCTCTTCGCTCTCTTCTTGCGCGTCCCGCTTGGCCCTTGCGCTAGGATATGGGCTGGGCTGGATTGCCTGGAGATACAAGACACCTCATTAACTTTTGTTATCATCGGAGTGGGCTAAGGCCCATCTGACTCTCTGTCACTTGCCCTGCCAAACTGCACTTGGGCCAAGCCCAGCAGGTTAGCCCGACAATCCCTCGTGTCTCCAGTTCCCACTTCCCTCCCCTAAAAAAAACCCCCACTTCCCACGTCACTCTCGCTGATCATCAATATTTCTCTTATTTGATTTGATGTAGATATACTCTTAGATAGTGAACTAAATTATATCAGTTTTTGTGTCTGCGATTGACTACCAACATATAACCAAATAATATGTCAGGATTGAAACAGAAAAGAGTTGGCTCTGCTTGGACCTTTTTCTTTTCTTTTCTTTTTGCAGTGCTTTTTCTCTACGGTGGCTGCTGCTGTGGCAGCACCAGCCACCGTACTTATTGAGAGTTTTCCTGGAGCAGCAGCAGCGCTGCCAATTAGACTGATTGAGGTTTCCAATTAGCTGCAACGATCGCTTTTAATATCAATGAAATGTATGCATTGTTCAATAATATATCTAGACTTTTTAACGTTGCACGAAACTGCAAATATATATAGGAATATGTTTTTTCTAGCAAGAATTATTCACGGACGTCCTCAGCCTCCCGCCCAGCGACGCCGCCGCCTTCCTCGCCGCGCTCGGCGGCGCCACCGAGGCCGAGTGGCATTGCGGCAAGAGGCAGCGCATTGGCGGTGGGCGGTGGCAACCAGCAGGTGCCGGCGCTGGCGGGGGCTCTGATGAACGAGTTCGTCCTGCCGCTGCCACTGCGGCCCCAGCCCCGGTTCCGGAGACCCTCGTGTTCGTGCGCGGCGTGGACGCCAATAAGGCCACCGCGGCGGCGGCGCGTGCCAGGCCGTTCAGAACTCAGCGGCAAGGCTGCGCCGGAAGCGGATCAGCGAGAAGACGGCCGAGCTGGCGCGGCTCTTCCCAGGGGCGCACAAGCTCAACACCGCCGAGAACACGACTTCACGCGTTTTTCGTTAAGGAGTGCCAGAAGAACGACCATGTCAATCTCCTGCAGGCGCAGGTCGGCTTGCTCGCCTTCATGCGCGCCGCCGGCTCAAGCTTGGTGCGTACCACTAGCCAAAAACTGGCAACCGTAAGCTCCTGCAGACGATCGATCGATGTCCATGTCCCAATCTGTTCTAATCACGTACCTCACCACTGCCTCGCAGTTTAATTTCGTGCAACTGAATCCCTGTGCATGCAAGCATGCAGGAGAACATGCCATGCCGTCGGCCATGGCGCAGGAGCGAATGCGCGGGCTCCTGGCGGGCGGCAGCGCGCGTGCAGGAACGGCTGGCCGCCGAGGGCAAGTGCCTGGTGCCGTACGTGGAAGCTGGTGGACGCCGTGGCCAAGGACGACGCCGTCAAGGCGAATGCGCTGGTGCGCAGAGAGATTTTTTTTTATTTTTAACACTTTCTGTAAACTAATTTTAAATCTAACATTGTTTTTTTTCTTCAAAACTAACATTTTTGGCTGCGTCTAGGCGGGAGGATGACGTGGCAACGACCGGGGCTGCTGACTGGTGACGTGGCAGGGTCTACCGCGCCACCGATCTTGGCGCGGCATAGCCGGATAAAAGGCCCGCGGCCTAGTCCCGCTTGCCGCGCCCGTCGCGTCCAGCCGCCTGCTCGCCGCGCCTTGGCACCCGCCGCACCTGCCCGCCGCTCCCGCTACGCCCGCACGCCGGCGCACCACCCCCTCCGGCCACGCACGGCGGCTGCCTGCCGCGGCCTCCGGCCACCGCCGCGCCCGCCACCGCCCTCACTGCAGCGCCCACGACTACCACCGCCTCGAGGATGAGCGCCGCTGCTGCGAGGTACTCCCCTAGTGAGTCTAGTTATACATTAGTTGTTGTAGTTAGCCTTGTATGGATGTCAATATTAGATTAGTTAGTATAGTTATAGTTAGAATATGTATTAATATTACTATGGACATTACGTACGACGATTTCGACGAATTGATGAAGTTTCTTGAAATACTTTTGTAGATGGATTGTTGTGTTAGAGTTTTATACGGAGAAAGTGTTAGGAGAGAATATGGTATGTTTGAGGATATGGAAGAAGAATTGAAATGGTTTGATGAACCTCCTAGCTTCAACGACCTTTGTGTCCGTTTGAATGCAAAGTTTGGCGGTGATTTCACACTAAAGGGGAGGTTTGATACTGGGAAGACTAGGGCACACTATGTCCTCATGCCCTTGCGCGACCCTGCTCACTGGTCCCGCTACACTAGAGTGCTCTAAGGTTCCAATGTGCCCATGGCTGAGGTGGTGGTGGAGAATGGGTACAAGATGCAGGGTGTCCAGAATGGCCCGTCTATTGACGGTGTTGGAGGCAATAAACAAGAATTAGGGATCGAAAGGGAAGCATCTCAGGGTAACATGGATTTGGACGGTCAGTTGATGCAGGAGCAGTTTCATTCAACTGCAGTAGGCTGTATAAGCAATGACTTTAATGTGAACGAGTTCGAACGGGAAGAGGAGGAGGACAGGATCGGTGATGTAGTTAGCAGTGATTTAGACGATTCTGATGATGACCAAGGAGGTACAGATGCTATGCCAACACCGGTTGATGCCATGCCAGTACCGGTTCATACTATGCCATTACCAGTACCAACTGAGGTTTTGCATGGTATCTAGGCTCAGGGTAGACTAGTCACAGATTTGGCAGCAGATGATACCCCTATGATTCATAGGCCAGAATTAGCGAAGCGCAACAGTATGTTCCACCACCACCTTACATAGTGACTGAGCTTGAGCAACTAAGGTCGATGAACGTACCTTTCAGGGGCGTTTCGAACTATAGGGATGTCAGCATGACGGATATGGCAGTTTGTGACACCGGTCTCCAGATGTGTAGGAAATCATTGTATGACCATAAGAAAGAAACCCTTAGGAAAAGGATGATATTCAATACAACGTCAGAGATGAAGCTCTTTCTTCAGGACTATGCTGTGTATCACCATAGGCCATACAACGTCACTCATTTGGATCAGGAGTTGAGGTACCACGTGATATGCAAAAACGGTTGTATGTGGAGGTTAAATGCACGAAAGAGATAGAGTGATGGCAAGTGGAGGATAAGTAAAATTGTCGAACCCCACACTTGCCTAACAAATAGGGGGAAGGAAAATCATCAGCAGCTCACTGCACGTTACCGTGCCCGTCGTATATTGGGGCTCGTTGATGACAATAATAATATTTCGGTGTCTTCTTTACAACAGTCCATATCTAGATTCATTAAGTACGATGTGAAGTACGGAAGGCTTGGCGTGCTAAGCAAATTGCCCTGGCGATTCGATGGGGTAGTTGGGAGAAAGCGTACAACAGGGTGCCCCGCATCTTATGCGCAATGCATTACTACAACCCTGGCTTGAAATGGTTTGTGGACACCGGAGGGATGTGTTTTTGGGACCCGGTGAGGCATGTCCTCTATCATGTGTTCTGGTCGTTCACGCAAACGGAACATGTATTCTAGTTTTGTCGTCCAGTCGTACTTGTTGATGGCACTTTCCTAACAGGAAAGTATAGGGGCACCTTGATGATGGCTGCTGTTGTTGATCTTGAGGACCATATAGTACCCATGGCATTTGCTTTGGTAGAGGGAGAGAACAATGAATCGTGGTCATGGTTCATGCGGCTTCTACGTGTAAAGATCGGACAACAAATAGTTCTAAGACAAGGATACTTACACGACAGCTTCCCGGTAGACTGTTCTGAACCGGCGCTGCCTCCCCGAGCACCCAGGCAGGGCTCTAGGGTCAACCCACGCATCCTGGGCTGGAGGTCTTGCGGCCCTTGTCGTCGGCCTCTCCTCCGACTGTTGCTCGGGGACTCCCTCCCCTCCCTTCGACTGCACCTCCGCGCGCATGTTGTGCAGTGGCACCTCAGTGCTCGAAGGAGGAGCTACTGGAGCCCCGTCGTCGTCTGACCACTCGGACATCGCCGCACTCTGCGTCTGAGTGGTCTGATCACCGCCAAGCGAGATGTCGCTCGGCTTGCGGGGAGCTACACCCGCCGTCCTCCTCTTCTTGTAGGCCGGCTCGTCTGTCGTCGCCCTTTTCCCTAGGACTTTCTCCGACACTGGGGGGGGACTCTCCGTCCGACCAGTGCCTGCGCCTCCGGACTCCGATGAGGCACTGATGGCACCTTCCTCCGGCTAAGTGGATGGCCGGGCGTCCACTGCCTTCGGCCAATCGCTCCTCGGCACGCCCGAGAAGTACGCCGCTCGTTCCTACAAATGGATCTTTCCACAAGTGAATCGGTTCACTGCTCGGCACCGGTACAAGATAAAAAGCTTCAGGAATAACAGTTGAGATTTTTTACCTGAGGAGGTGGGTTCGTGCAGTTGAAGGCTCTCGTTTGCCCTGGCACGCTAAATGGCGCGTTTGCAGCGAATAGTTTGGCTGCTCGGCGTATCATAGTCTCCTTCGATAGCCTCTCCGTCCTCTCCCAGGTGCCGTCAGTGTCCCCGTTGAAATCAAAACCTGCGTGGGCCCTCTCCTTGCAGGGCTGGACGCGGCGCACTATGAAGCTCACCGCCACCAGTACACCGTTCATCTTTATACCCTTTATCAGGCCGAGGAGCTCCCTCACCTGATCCATTTCAGCACTGCTCGGTTTCTCCGACCAGCTCCTCTGGTTCTCCAGAATGTGGTCGACATTGCAGCGGGAGGCAGGATGATTCTGCTTCATGTAGAACCACCTGGCGTTCCACCCCTTCAGCGAAGTGTTCAGTGGAACAGTGATGTACTCGCCCGCCATCCCGTCGCGGAGTTGCAAATACACGCCGCCGACCACTCTAGAACTGTCGATGCCCTTCTTCTTCAGCCAGAACAGGTGTCGGAAGAGGTTGAAGTGGGGAAGGATTCCGAGAAACACCTCGCAGAAATGGATAAAAATGGAGATGTGCAAGATGGTGTTGGGATGCAGATTGCACAGACTCACTCCCCAGAACTCCAACAGATCCCACAAGAAAGGATGAACAGGAAATCCTAATCCGCGCTAGAAATAATCTTCAAATACTACAACTTCGTCGGTATGCGGCATCGGGTAGGGCTCACCGTGGGCCGGACGCCATCCGACGGTGACACGGTCAGGAAGAACGCCCGCCTCCACGATCCCATTAATTTATGTCTCCCCCATGAGCGACGGCACCCACTCATTGTCATGGCTTGCTCTGGCGGTCGCCTTCTTTGGGTTACCAACTCCCCTCTTCGGCGCCATCTCTCAGATTTGGATTGAGATTGGCGGCAGAAGCACATGTGGATGTGAATCAGGAAGCGCGAGGGTTGAGGAGGAAGACGAAGTGGCGAAGTGGCAAAGGTGGGAGCGCGGAGTGTGGCGGCGCAGTTATAAAGCACCCTCCCCACTTTTCGCATTCAAGGGTTTTTGGGAAACTGCTCCACGATTTGCGCCTCTCCGAATTCTCCGAAGCGGCGTGGTGGGCCATTACCTGGTCTTCTGCACAACTGCAGCCCATATCGCCCACTTTTCACCGCAACTTGTTACTGCACACCGAATATTCGCCGACTTCTCCGCAATATCATTAAGGCTCAGTAACTCCTACCGTACATCCATTACTCCAGATTTTTTCTCCATGATTTGATTTCTCCAAGATTTCCACTTGTGGCTCGAGGACTGTGTCATCACTATGACTTAGTTCCTCACCACACTGGGGACTTTCTTCTGGTTACTATTGTTTCTAACCTCGGCACCACGTGACCACGTCACCTACTGTCAGGCTCGGGGACTAAGTGGGCACACTTCACCTTGCGGTGAATGTGCTTTACTCATTTCAGGGCTCCGCTCGGGGACTGGCTGCCTGCTCGGCTGGTCTTCTGCTTTTCTTCTACTTTGGACCCTGACACCACGTGACTGTGTCACCTACTGTCAGGCTCGGGGACTAAGTGGGCACACTTCACCTTATGGTGAGTGTGTTTGCTTTAATCTGGAAGACTCTGCGCCTCCTGAAGTTGAAGAAGACTATCTCCCTTTCTCATGGTCGGACTCTAAGTGGGCACACTTGGTCCATTGCGAGGAAAGTTTTGATTTTGAACTTGAGCTCCTTACATCCTTATGGAAAGCCTTACTTGGGATACACTGCTCGGCGATGGTTTACAACTGCTCGGTGACTCAATATGGTGGTCGGACCGTGAGTCTGCCTGCTCGGCTTTGTTCACACCTGCTCGGACAAGCTCAAGACGGCGTTGCACAGCGAATACAAGGTGCTCGGGGATTAGCTGTGGGGGGTACGACCCCGGATACCCATGGCAGACTACATGGGTTGCGCCCCTAGGGGTGGTCCATCCCACAAGACGAAGCCTTGCGGAGCATGGCGCTGCTCGGCGCGCCCCACAAGACACTGGGAAGATATCTTGAAGATACTACGAGATCTGTTAGGATACGTTCGATTCCATGATTTCTGTAATCCGTTATTACTTTTTGGTTATCTTCTAGATCTAACCGACTTGTAACCCTACCCCCAGACTATATAAGGCGGGCAGGGACCCCTTAAAACACATGCAATATCATATGAAGCCAATACAATCCAACAAACCACAAGAGTAGGGTATTACGTCGCGCTGATGGCCCGAACCTATCTAACTCTTGTGTCTCTGTTGCCTTGTTCTCGATTACACGCATCTCTATCGATCAATCTATCTTCGTGGGATACCCCTCGGAGGACTACCGATGATATTCTGTCGACACGTATAATCCATGATTAGTTTGCTTAGACGGTAGAAGCTGATAAGTTGATGGGTTTCTCATCCCTCGCATGATTAGGACATGCTTGTCCACTAAGCAACATAAGATGGAAAAATGATCTAAAACTTCACAAAAATGATAAGAATGAATCAAGGGCTTGCGAGGGGTTGGGCCATGGCAAGACGGGTGAGGTCTTGAATGGTGTAGCTCGTTGGACCGATTAAGGACCATGTATCTGTGGTAGCAAGACATGAATATACTTGTACAAACCACTTGTCATATATGGGTGTGGCAAGATAAGTACTTCACTGTGACCGGTTTTTCCATGGATTTGGTGCGAGGTGTAGCACAGGGTAGTTAGAACAAGCTAGTACCTTAGCTCTTGCTCAAACCGTTCGTGGGCATCCTCGATCGGACTTGGGAAAGGTTGAGACATCGAGGTATCCCTTATGTACTGACAGGTCATATGGGCAATACCCTTTGTCTTTGGTGGGGTTAATGTGTACCCCTCTGCAGAGTCTTGAATTATATGCTATAAGTTCTATGCTTCTAGATACGGACTAGTGGCGGAAAGGACTCGGAAGATTGAGCTCCAATTGCGAATTGCTTACATTTATTCAATCATGCCATACTTGCTTAAATGTTAAGATCACATTTACCTTTGTGTATAAAATGGTTTATATAAAACCAACCTTGCTAATGAACCAAATGCATACCCCTTGTTATTATATTTGGTAAGTCCTGCTAAGTATATTTGATTACTCACCCTGCAATTGCTTAAGTTTTGTAGGTATGTCAGTCGTCCCATCTTATGGTTTCTTCTACACACCTGAGTCCTCTGAGGATCAGAAGCGGTAGAAGTGTTGTGGTGGCGTAGATGCATGGAAATGGCACGCCCATGCACTGTATCTTAAAACTTATGTTGTTTTCATAAAGACTTCCGCTAGTGTACTCTGAATGGTGTAATGTAAGGACTAATGTCTGAACAGCCTTGTTGTAACTTAATGTACTACTTTTATTATGATGTGAACTGGTCATATGTTGTAATAATCCTTTCCGTCCACGTGAATCCTGGATAAAGGTTGGTTTAGTACATCATATATATGGGAGGTGTACCGTGATGACTGATTAAGTTTATTATATAACTAATGGTAGCCAATGGAAGACTACTTAGCTAGGTAATTTACTTAAGAGGGAGACAATCCTGACAATTTGAATTCATTTCGGGTCCCAAATACTCAATTCAAAATCGGATGAAGATTAAATGAGGAGGACAAATATCACATATGGACATGAGTATCTTATGGGTGGAGTGGTTAGGGGAGGAACACGCGAGGCCTTAGCCCTTAGGTCATGGGTTCGAGCCCCCACGGTCGCGGAGCACGTGTTTTTTGCGCAAAAAATCATGAGGCTTGGCTTGCACGACGGCCGGGAACATGAGCCACCTCTAGAAATCGATGATTTGTAGAGATAGAAGAAGAGTAGAGGTGGTTGATTTGTAGAGACGGGTGTGCACCCTCCTTGAGATGAGGTTTCGGACAGAGTGGTGCTATTTCATTCCAATGGCACTTCATGATAAGTAACTGGTGGAGCCTTCCTTCAATACCTTATAACTGTCTCAACCATTCCACTTATTTGAAAAATGTGGCTGGTAAAACCTTTGTTATCCTCTCGAACCAAGTCAAACTTGATGGTGTGAAAAATCATCAAATGAGACATCGAGAAAATCTGGTGATTTTTTTTCATAAGAGAGGCCTTTACCATATAGCATCATGTCGGTCACTGCCACGGCATGGTGCCTTTGGATGCCGATCCAGGGGTTCATCTGACTCTATATTTAGAGTACCTCACGTCTCATTTTAAAGAGACATTCCTTACCTAATCGTCACTTTACCCACTGCTTCTTATCAAATGATGGATATGTTGCCTATACTCGTTAGGAAGAAATTTATACCAGTTAAAAAAAGAGAAATTTCAATATTTGACTCTCGCGCGCCCTCAAGATTTGACACCCAATTCGCATGCCTTTCAAAATATAACCCTGAGCACGCAAATTCTTTCAATATGAGGGATTTCTCTCTTTTCCTCTCCTTACTTATTTCTAATATATATAATATAATTTTCACTGTTGATGGCACGAGAAAAGACCATATTGCCCATCCCTCTAATTTGAAGACCTGGACGGACGCTCACGCTCCCTCGTAGGTTCTCCAGTCCGCTCGCGCTACATCGCCGAAGGAGGATGCCGGCGTCACGCCTGGTGGCGGTGGCGGTGGCCGGCCACGCCCCCCTGCAGCCGTGGCCCAAACCCTAGCACGGGCCTGGGCATGCTTGGCCTGGGTGCGCGGCGAGTGGGGAACGACGGCGGGCTGGTCGAGCAGCTGGTGGGGGCCGACGGTGGCCGGTGGACCAGCGTCAGAGTGGCCGGATCCAGACGGCGGCTGGTCGAGCGGCTCCTTCTCCATCGCGAGTTGCGACCCCGCGTGACTGTTGTTCACGTCCGAGCGAAGGAAGCGAAGCATTTCCTTCTTTCCAGGGAGGGGCAATATGGTCTTTTCTCGTGCCATCAACAGTGAAAAGGATATATTGGAAATAAGAAAAGAAGAGAAAAGAGAGAAATCCGTCGTATCGAAAGAATTCACGTGTCCAAAGTTATATTTGAAAGGCATGTGAGTTGGGTCTCCAATCTTGAGGGGCGCGCGAGCTAGGAGTCAAATATTTCTCGTTAAAAAAAACGTACTCTTGCGCGCACGTATCAGTGCATAGAAATTAACTAACAACAGCAATAGAAATTTAGAACATAGAAAAAAACACCCATGACATATACAACCCAGTCTATATCAATTCAAAGTTCATAGATCACATAGCTCATCGACTAACTGTAACAGCAATGCCAATTCACCAATCATGCAATCACCATATATGATGAGAAAAATCTTTAAAAGAATATCTTTTCATTACATACAAAAAAAAGGTTCATCATTTCCGTCTTCGGTTCCGGCACGGATTTTTTAATTTAGGCCTTGTTTGAATACACATGTATCTATCACAATCCATATGTGTTAGTAGTTTAAAATGGAATTAAGTTACAATCTAATCCACTTCAACACATATGAATTAAAGTAGATACAGATTAGTCTTAGCAGTTCACGGAGCAAAGTCACCACACCGGCCGGCGTGAGTGGCGGTACTATAGCATGGGATCTGAACCGCCCATCTGGAAATAAACGGTCGAAAATAATCCAAAGTCGGGCATGCATCACTGACTTGACAGCGCGCGCTGATCTCGGCATTTCTTTATGGTGGGGTGGCGCATACGACTCCCCCTGGCCCTGGGCGACCGCCACGGCCACGCCACTGCCGCTCTACTCCACCCAGGTGCCCAGGTCGTCGAGGAGCCCTTCGCCGGCGACGGGCACCCACCAGGTATTCACACTCTTTCTTTTTCCCTTCCTCCTGCTGTGCGAAATCGAGCACTCAAACCCTAAGGTTTATTTTGCGAAATTACAAGTGTTTATATACATGTATTGTGCTGTGCGTTCCTACTGACTTCGTTTTTTTTTTTTTTGCAAAGATTATGGAGAATATTCGGTTGCCTTTGATGCCGTCCATGCGAGGCGCCACCTGGGAGGTGGATGCACCTCACTGCCAGGGCTGTTCTGTTCAGTTTACCTTTTTTACTAGGAAGGTAAATCAAATCCCCTTGGAGCGATGGCTCACCTCTGCCTTTTCTGTTTGAGGCTTTTACGTGTGTACCGTTATAAAAGTTGGTAATTACTCACGAATTATTAAAAAAATTAAGTTCTCACAGGTGCCACTGCTCGGAACTCTTTTGCCCTCCACGCCACTTCTGTCAAATTTGGTTCTAACGGTGTCAAACTGCAGGTGTGAAAAGTCGAAAATACCCTCAGGTCTAAATATGCAATTAATTTTTTTAGCATCTTAATGATCTCAAATGAAAAAACTCAAAACTAGAAAGTTGTAGATCTCGTCGAGATCTACAATATTTTTATAAAAATTATTTTCATTTGATTCCGTACAAAAAATGTGATTTTTCTAAGACATTAATAATATCAAATCATATTTTTTATACAGAATTAAATGAAGATAATTTTCTACAAAATTGTAGATATTGTCGAGATCTACAACTTTCTAATTTTGATTTTTTTCATTTGAGCTCATTAAGATGCCCAAAAAATTAATTGCATATTTAGACCTGAGGGTATTTTGGACTTTTCACAACCGCGGTTTGACACCATTAGAGCCAAATCTGACGGAAGTGGCGTGGAGGGCAAAAGAGTTCACAGCAGTGGCACTGTGAGAACTCAACTTTTTTAATGGCTTATAGATAATTACCAACTTTTATAATGGCACACAGGTAAAAGCCTCTTTCTGTTTTTGAAAAGTGTAAATTTATTAGTCCATAGTCTCGTAAAACTATCATGCTTGGACTTGGTACAACTATTTATTTCAGTGGGATTCATAATGTTTTGGTTCAGTTACCTTGTTTACATTACATGCTCCAGCTCCACTATCAGTGAAACTCACCCTGTGTTGGACTACAAAGCAAGTTGATAAATGAACTTCAGCCTGTCCGGCTGGGGCTGAAACGATCGTATACGATCGTGGATTATTACTGCTGGCTGGTTTGATGTGAGAGAAAAATACTGTTCTGGCTGGAAATTTACGATCGTTTACGACCAAACGAACAGGGCGCTTGTTGATTAATGAAATCATCTGCTGGCAGTGGAAGATACTGACCTTGATGTTCTCTTGGTCTCATGTCTCATTACAGATGACCTTGTCACCCCAGTTCTAGTATTATCATGACCTTACATCTCTAGAGTCCATTCTCACCTGACACTCATGACTCCCTTTGTCCATGCTTGCCATGAAAATTGTTTGCCGCTGCCCATGGCTAGATCACAGTTTGACTGGAGCTCAATTTATTTTTGCTTGAAACCTTGCTGTGTGGGGGAATCAAGATATGTTCTCCATTGTTTTTCCTTTAGTCATTTATTGCTGGTAAATATGGTCTATCATGAAGTTATGAAACTCAAATATAGTGTTTAGAAATATCTCACTTGCTTGTTTGAGTACTTAATATGCTTGCGTTCACCATTTCACGGTGTTTATGAACATGCCATTGGCCATTCAGTTAAACTGTGAACTCTGTTGTAACCTTATGGTCTCATAAGGGGCTGTGTTAACTTTTGGATAAATTGATGTAGCACCATTGCCGAAGATGTGGGGGCGTGTTCTGCAACAGCTGCACCCAGCAAAGGATGGTTTTACGTGGACAGGGCGATTCACCTGTTAGAATCTGTGATCCTTGCAAAAAGCTTGAGGAAGCAGCACGCTATGAATTGAGATATGGACACAGAAATATAGCTGCAAGAGGTCTATTTTCTTTTGCTTATCCTTTTGACCTGATATGTGTTTCAGTGGAGAACTGTGATTTGGTTGATACTTGATACTGCTGTGAAATATATTGAATTAGTCTTTATGGAAATCGTAAAAATCGTAATAAACTGATAAAAATCAAGGCCTTGTTGATAAAAAAAAAATCAGACTATCAGCATGGATTCTATTGAAGATGCAATTTACATATTAATTTGCTTATCATCATCATATAAAGCACATTTGACTATGGGGTGGTCGTGTACAAAGTTTGGGCTGGTTCATATTATTTCAGATTTTTTTTAACATTTGACTATTTTTTATCGGAGCTATATCTATATGCTCAGAAATAGAGATGCATTATTGGCACTATACGTCTATACCCTACTGAATAACGATGGTGCTTGCAGCTTGTCACAAATGAAGAATTAAACATTTCTGGCAATATCTTGTTCTATCTGAGAGATTATTTTATTCTATGGTTTATCCTTTGTTAGCAACAAGTGCCTAACAGCCTAATTGGTTGCAATGAAATATTTTTGGTCTTTGATACATTCTTCATAGTTCTGTATTGTATGCAGTATTTTATATCACTGCATTGCACATACAAATTTGTCAAAATAGGATCTATGGGAGCTAAAAATCTATAGTGGAATTATGTGCGAAAGATCTAACTAAAAAAACCCTTTCATTCTGTTTCCACAGCTACCACAAAAACAACCTCAAAACCAGAAGATGAAATTCTAAGTGAAATTCTTGGAGGTGATGGAGTGCAGATCCAGGTTTCTGGCAAGGAATCTCTGAATTCTGAGTTTCCTGGGATAAGTGCAATCAGTGCCAGTTCCTCCGGATCCAGTTTGAGAAGAACTACTGCTAATTTGAGTATGGACACAAATGGAGATGAGAGAGGCTACCACAAAAACAACCTCAACAACACGGCATCTGTTTTTACCCCAGAGGAGTTGCGCCAACAAGCTGTAGAAGAGAAGAAAAGGTACAAAACTTTGAAATCAGAAGGTAAACCGGATGAAGCACTGCGGGTTTTCAAGCTTGGTAAAGAACTTGAGAGGCAAGCTGCAGCACTTGAATTAGAATTGAGAAAGAGCCGGAGAATGGCTACAAAAGCTCCTAATGTAGCTGCTGCAGTTAGTACCCCAACGACTGATAATTTTGATGAGTCTGAAACAAAAAGGTATTCAGCTGGGAAAAGGGTCAAGAAAGAAAAGAATGATCTTGCCTCTGAGCTCAGAGACCTAGGCTGGTCAGATGCAGACCTTCGTGATGAAACGAAGGCAGCCCCTATGAGTGTGGAAGGAGAGCTGTCACAGCTTCTTAGAGAGGTGGCCCCTAAATCATCGGAGGGCAAGAAAACAGGTGGTATCGATAAATCTCAGGTTAATGCTCTGAAGAGGCAAGCCTTACTGCTGAAGCGGGAAGGTAGACTTGCTGAAGCAAAAGAAGAGCTGAAGAAGGCTAAAATCTTGGAAAAACAACTAGAGGAACAGGAGATTCTGGGTGAAGCAGAAGACTCGGATGATGATTTGGCTGCCATTATTCGGAACATGGACGATGATAAGCATGATGACATATGGATGGATGATCCAAACTTCCCTGTTTTTAACTTTGAACAAATTCTGGGTGCCTCTAATGATCTTGCCATTGATGGATACTTTGATGTTACGGATGATGACAAGAATGACCCAGATATGGCTGCTGCCCTAAAATCATTTGGCTGGAGTGAGGAGGATGACAAACAATTGGAACATCATGAGCCTGTTTCTTCTTCAAATCAGGATGTGCTAAAGGAGCAAGTGTTTGCTCTTAAAAAAGAGGCTGTCGCAAACAGAAGGTCTGGTAATGTTGCAGAAGCCATGACCTTGCTTAAGAAGGCAAAACTATTTGAGAAGGATCTGGAAACTGAAGAGCCAGAATCAAAGGTTGCTTCTCCAGAGGGACAGAAAACTATGCTTGCAGAAGATGTCACTTTTGCAGGGACGACTGCACGACCTGTATTGGTGCATAGAAGTAAGCTAGCAATTCAGAGAGAACTGTTGGCTCTGAAGAAGAAGGCACTAGCTTTGAGGAGGGAAGGGAAGGTGGATGAGTCTGAGGAAGAGCTGAAGAAAGGTAGCATTCTAGAAAAACAGCTTGAAGAACTTGAGAATGCTTCCAAACCACCTGTAGCAAAGGAAACCAGGAACTTTGCATCTAATCCCCCGTACAAGGTTGAACCCCCAAGTCTCAATCTTGCTGATGATGGATGTGAACCTGAGGTTACAGACAACGACATGGAAGATCCAGCATTGTTATCCATGCTGAAAAATATGGGGTGGGAAGATGTTGATACTGATTCTGCAAAAAGAAATGACAAACCATTGATTTCTTCACATTTAGTTACTCAGAAATCATCAAAAGCTAAGGTTCAGCTTCAGAAGGAATTGCTTGGTATAAAAAGGAAGGCTCTTGCACTCAGACGGGAAGGGAAAAACATAGAAGCTGAGGAGGAACTGGACAAGGCTAAGGTCTTGGAGCAGCAACTTGCAGAGATTGAAGAATCAAATAATTCGACTGCTAGTCAAGGTGTTACTACTGCTGGACATCAGATTATTGAAAATAAATTTGATGTTCAGCATGTCTCTAGTATTGATGCAACTGTACCCACATCTTCAGTAACAAAAATGAAATGGGACGATATGTTGCAGGTGCATGGATCTGAACCTGGTATATCTATGGATACTCTGGGTGATTCTCCAAGCAAACTGCAGGTTGAGACAACGGGTTCTAAACAAATTCATGTGGCAAAAGAAAGTAGTGATGGAGCATCGTCAGCCTTGTCATGGCCAGCTTATACTAATTCTGTGGGATCTGAAAAAGGGTCACATTCACCTTCTGAACTACGTGTTGGTAAAGAGCCTCACAAAACACATGGAGATGATATTCTTACAGATGAGATCTTATTTCATAAGAGAAAAGCAGTTGCCTTCAAGAGAGAAGGGAAGATGGCAGAAGCTAGAGAAGAACTGAAACTGGCAAGACTCTTAGAAAAACACCTTGAAGGTGCTCAACAAGACAGCATGGATGGTGGTGATAACTGCATTACTCCTGCTGGGGAACAGAGCACCGTGGTCCAACAACGTGCTAGTTCTAGCATCCAAACTGATGGTGTGGCCTCTGCCCCTCCTGCACAAGCGAGCAAGTCGACACGACATCAGAAAGCAATGTCCAGCCGAGACTGTCTTAAAACCCAACGTGAATCCCTAGCTCACAAGCGCAATGCCCTCAAGTTGCGGAGAGAAGGAAAGATTGCAGAAGCAGATGCAGAATTTGAACTGGCCAAGGAGCTAGAGAGCCAACTGGAAGAGTCAGACAACCAAGGTTCAAGCTCCGGAGGCAAGTCAGGTGAACCAAACAATGCAATGGTGGAGGATCTTCTTGATCCTCAAATCATGTCCGCCCTAAAATCCATCGGTTGGAGCGACATGGATTTATCCATGCAGTCTTCTAGTGCACAACCTCCTAAGCCCCCGCAGACTTCTCCGCAGAAAGTGGAAGTGAAGCCAGCCATTACAGTGACCAGCAAGCCTCAGAACGAGAGAAGTCAGCTTGAAGAACAGATCAAGGTGGAGAAACAAAAGGCACTCAACTTGAAGCGGGAAGGGAAGCAGACTGAGGCCTTGGAGGCCCTTCGCTCAGCAAAGCGACTGGAGAAGAAGTTGTCCTCGCTTAGCTAATTACTACCAGATTTTTTTTCTTCGACGTGACAAACTAACATTACAATTGAAAACCCACTGGATGTGGCTGTGATATACGTAGAACCATAGATAATATAAACTTCAATTTGAGGCATTTGTATTTTGATTGGTCCTTGGCAGTTTGTGCGATCCTTTTGGACTCCACTAGCAACTGGTTTGTGAATCACAATCAAGCAGCAATATGGGCTTACATAGTTGCATTTGCATCTAAAATGGGCAGAACTTATGCGCGTCATGAAGAGACTGAGGCTTGATGCAGAGTCAATGTTGTGGTTTAGGGCACATTGAGCCAAATGTACATAGATTTTGCGTACATTTACAAAACTTTGAGGGAGCATTTGCATTTCATTGCTGAAGTATATTCTTGCTTGCCTTTGCTTTAGTATACTGTTATGTTTCCATTCAGTTGTGTTGCATTGTGGATATAATTGACCCTGCATTTATCTGTGCCCTTGAAATCTGACCCTGCAGAAAGTGGCATGTCCTGGCCTTCTGAAAGCTACTGTACTTTCAACCATGTCAACTTGCTGTACCTCTTGACTCTTGAGGCATCAGAGGATACATGCCAACCACCTAATTATTTCGTCAATATGCCAATTCTCATTGCAGTGGCTGGTGGCTCTAATAGTAGCTGCTGGTGGTGGTAAGACATTCAAATCTATGTACTCATACTCACTAGTACAATTGTGTTTCTTACATGCAAAGTTGATGGAGCGAGACGTTTCTTAGTCACTAATGATTTTTCCTCTGCGATTTTTCACATGCAGGATTGCTAGCAGCTAGCATGTCAAAGCAGGAATTTAAGCGACTGAATAATCAACCTGGCCAGATCCATACAGCACGTATTACTTATGCACCAATTGGGAGAACTTACTTATGTTGTTGTTGACCCAATGAAGTAGCAGTTGGTCACAAACCTGAGAAATGGGAAGAATTACATGAAGAATCAAGCTCTTGTTTAAGGCTCTAGTGGAGTTCAGGACAACTCTGGAGGAGATTGTTTTGAGGAAAAGAAAGCTGCACAAGGATTAGGTTCTTTTCTCCCTGACAACCTCCGTTATTAATGTTTACCTCTGCTGTTCTTCTGAGGGGGTGTGTGTTGTAATTCTCTTCTTTCTATGAATGATACACAGCTGTGTTTGAGGAACTTTAAAAAAAACCTCTGTTTATGTTTTACCAGTGCCATAAAAATTGGTCAGTCAGGCTACATAATAAATCATTTAAGTGTAGTTGACAGATGGAGTACCAGTGCTGTTGTCCTCATTATGGCATCAGTCATTAGCTAAGTAGTGGATAGCAGTACATTAGAACTTCTGAAAATGACTGAAATGTTTTGTGTTGTTTCACCTAGTTGTGTTTCTTGCCGTCTTTGTATATTTGTTGCTTCTGCGAGAGATGCATATTGTTGATCCCTGTCTGAACTTTGAATAATCCTTTATTTATTGTAAGCAAAGATTTATACGGCAAGCCTTCTACCGAATAATTGCCAAGCAAAGATTTATACGGCAAGCCTTCTACCGAATAATTGCCAGGTAAAGATGTTGAAGTAAAATCTTGAACTTTCCCAAATCCTATTAGATGGTAGATTGTGCAGTTTGCTGCATACAGATCTTTTCTAGCTACATGGGGACGAACGTATCCTTGCTCTATAGCTGGAGCCTGGAGATCTGCTTATCTGAGATAAGTTGAAGCAAATTTTAATGTGAACTAGTAGCAGGGTTTATATCAAGGGACAATTGTCTGTTGACATCCAAAGTGATGGTTCTTTACTGGCGGACACCCACTTTGGAGCATTTTGTCAAAAGACACTCTGGTTCGGTGAAATTAGGTCACAGGACACCGCGGACTGGTTGCAGCCGGTTGAGGAGAGAGAACAGCGGTGAAATGACGTTCTTGCCCACCATTAGGCCCAGCCAAGTGCCTCCTCGGCTGTGGCGGCAGCGCTCGGCGGGTGCAGCTGGGCAGTACGACAGCGGCTCCGACAGCGAGCGCAAAGAGGGAGAGTGGGCGGAGCGGAGAGGTAGAGCGGAGCAGAGGGGAGCGGGCGGCGGTGGCGCGGCGAAGAGAGAGAGAGAGAGAGAGAGAGCAGGGCTGCGGCGGCAATGGTGGAGAGAGGGAGTGCTTGGGGCGGAGCAAAGGAGAAGGCGCTCCGACGGCTTCGAGCTTCGTCAACCATGGCCACAGCTCGAGGCGCTCCGGCGGAGGCGGGGCGCGGCGCTCCCATGCTTGGGCTCGGCAGCGACCATGACCGGCCTTTTATAGCCGGAGAAGGCCGGCTCTCCCGTGCTCCTCGTGCCCGGGCGCGGCAGTTGCGACGCGGAGCCTACGCGGTGGATGCGGCACGGGCGTGTGCGTGCTCTGCTGCGGCCTGGGCCAAGCCGAGGAGGCACTTGGGCCGGGCCTAATGGTGGAGAGGGAGGCATACACCTCGCGCCCCGGAGTGCGTCCGTGCACCGACGCGCGCGGTCCATGTCCCCGCTCCGCAGCGCGTCGCCGCGCCTCAAGCTGATCAATGCGCTCGTCCCGGCGTCGGATCTCGGCCCCGGCCCCGCCGACGACGCGGCCGGGGGGCGCACAGGGAGAGGGAGGCATACACTTCGGGTAGCTGCTTACTGAAGATGCATACCTGAGACTTTTAATTGTCTGATTGTGTGCTTAGTAAGTCAGCTTTGGAGATTTGCATGTACGACGTTGCTTGAAGCAAATTCTATTGTGAACTAGTAGTGGTTGACTTCATAGCAACGGGCCGAAATGACTGTATGTTAGTGGTTAGCATAACCGTGTTTGAAACCTATGGTTGTGAACAAACTTAAGTAATTTCTATTTTCTACTTATCGTATGTATTGGTGTATAGTGGCGCTTTAATTTGTTCAGCATAAGAAGAATTTCTGTTTCAAGCTTCAGTCACTATTGCAGAGGCAGGCTCAAACTGTAGATTCACTGTTGCTCATTAAGTTGATAAGCTCTTACTTATGAAGTGGCCTGAGAATTGCCTGGTTTGCAGCCGGCTTACCTGTCGGCCTCCCACAGGCCGACTCATGATGATGGGCTATTTTGGTACCTGTCGGCGTCCCACAGACCGACTGGACCTGTCGGCCCTCCAGATGCCGACAGGGTAGACGACGGGCTATTTTGGCGGGTTCGGCCGCTACGCGTGCGCCACGTGGGGCCGACTGGACCTGTCGGCCCTCCACATGCCGACAGTTAGGCGACGGGCTATTTTGGCGGGTTCGGCTGCTGTGCGTGCGGGCCTATCGGCTATTGAGCGGCCGACAGGTTGCTATATGTCAAATTTTTGTATAACAGCTTTTAGATTTACAATTAATCATTAAATAATATCATTTAAAAAAATTCGGAATACACCGAGGTGGTGGAACTGTCCATGTAGACGGGCCATAGCTGAGTACTGCTGCCTGGAGCGACTGGCACAGCCCGGCGACGGCGAGGAAGGGCTGGTGGGTGGTGGCTGGCCCTTGATCTGTTGTACATGAAACACGATGAGTCACTTCCCGTTGGTTGGTTTTTGCTGTTGGTCACTGATCGAGGCGTGAGTTCTGCTGTTGGCCTGTATTTGCTTACTTCACTTCATGAATGAATGATTGATCGTTCTAGGAAGGATTTTGATAATCTTTCTGTATACTCATATAATGTCCGTGCTAACATTACGGAAAAATCAAATAACTAAAGTTTTTGTAAGAAAATATTTGTTTGCCAATTAACGAGATATTAAAACAAATCATACACAACGGAGGAAACATCTCAGTTCATATATATTATATTATATTATATTAAAAATATAACAATACGTGATGATACAGTGCAACCATAATTCAATTAATAATAGATTCATATTTACTTTTCAGGAATCCATATCTAGATATTATATAATACAAGATATCTAGAAGTCTTCACCCATATCTCCAGTTGTTTGTACCAAGTATATTGCCTCAAATACTCAACGATGCCAAACACAGGTTCATGCTTCCCTTTGTCCAATCCCACAAGGAGAGAATAATCTAGCATGACATTCACTGGCTGCAAGTACAATAATTATGTTCACAAATATTTCCATTGAAAGCATAACTGTCGGTAATTGCGGCTTGCGGCGAGGCAAGGCGAGGAGAGAAGAGCAAGGGCGGAGCGGCTCGGCGGCGGAGGACGCGGCGCTCCGACGGCTTCGAGCTTCGTCAACCATGGCCTCAGCTCGAGGCGCTCCGGCGGAGGCGCGGCGCGGCGCTCCCATGCTTGGCCTCGGCATCGACCATGACCGGCCTTTTATAGCCGGAGAAGGCCGGCGCTCCCGTGCTCCTCGTGCCCGGGCGCGGCAGTGGCGACGCGGAGCCTACGCGGCGGACGCGGCGCGGGCGTGTGCGTGCACCTCGTGCCCCGGAGTGCGTCCGAGCATCGACGCCCGCGGTCCATGTCCCTACTCCGCAGCGCGTCGCCGCGCCTCAATCTGATCAATGTGCTCGTCCCGGCGCCGGATCTCGGCCCCGGCCCCGCCGCCGACGCGACCGGGGTACGCACGGGGAGAGGGAGGCATACACTTTGGGTAGCGTTACTGATAATCTTTCTGTATACTCGAATAATGCCCGTGCTAACGTTACGGAAAAATCAAATAACTAAAGTTTTGTAAGAAAATATTTGTTTGCCAATTAACAAGATATTAAAACAAATGATACACAACGGAGGAAACATCTTAGTTCGTATATATTATATTATATTATATTATATTAAAAATATTACTACTACAGAATTAGACTTCACTGCCGTCCTCATCTGTGCCGGATTTTAAAAAACCGACAGTGATAGCCCATCATTGTCAGTTTTTAGCTAAAACCGGCAGTGATAGGACCAACCGACACTGATATTCGGGTATTCACTGTCGGTTCATATTACTATCGGTTTTAGCCAAGAACCGGCGGTGATATTCGGTCATCACTGTCGTTTTTAGCCAAGAACCGACACTGATACTATCA